TAGACTTGTTAATATAATCTTCAGAAAATTTGTGTGAATGATTGAAGAGGAAAAAAAGAAGCAAATCATGTCTTAAGTAGTTTCTGGCATTCTGTATAGTTTCTATGTGGCACCTTCTTTATTACCGGGTCATGCTTTGACTTTCAAGTTATTTTTTCTCCATTTCAAGTTTTATTTAGATTTAATTTATTTATTATTGGATTGATTGTTGGTCTTAATAAATGTCTGCATAGTTTCTATGTGACATCTTGTTTATTAACAGGTCATGCTTTTGACTTTCAAACTGTTTTTCCTCCATTTCAGGTTTTATTTGGATTTAATTTATTTATTATTAGATTGATTGTTGGTCTCAATAAATGTTGAAATTTACCATTAATTCAAAAATTAAGAATAATTAGGTCAATATTTTAGGAGATTTAAACAAACTTTCAAAATATTAGCTATATGAGCAATAAAAAATTGGAATCACGAGAGGTTGTAATAAAACAAAAAAACACTAACATAGAAAATTTTAACGTAAACATAAGAATTAATAAATTAACCTCAATTATGCCAAATACTCGATCTGTCACACCAATTTAATAAACTAAAACTTAAGAAATAATAAACTAATCTCAATTATTATGCCGAATACTTGACCTGCCACACCAATCTCATAGAAAGCTGTTTGACATTAAATTAAGAAAAATTAAGTAGCACAGAACATAGGAATTAACGCAAATATANAATCTCAATTATTATGCCGAATACTTGACCTGCCACACCAATCTCATAGAAAGCTATTTGACATTAAATTAAGAAAAATTAAGTAGCACAGAACATAGGAATTAACGCAAATAAAGGAATTAATAAACTAAAACAGAAGAATTGAGAAACTAACCTCAATTATGCCAAAAACTCCAACTTCGACTTCATTGAGTTTGTCACAGAAGAGCATGAGACCATAGGACTTCAAATAAATGACTATGGCTGACCAACTTCTAACTCTAACGTGAATGGAAGAAAATATATATATATATAAGAAAGACAAAAAATATATATGTATATGTATCATCTAAAAATGACCAAAATGTGGTATTCGAATTCTAGTAGAGTTTGTATAATTGAATGGAAAAGAAAGAATATATTGTCATAGGGATAAAGTTTATCTATCAAGTCATAGAGATAAAGTTATCTAGCTAATATTTTGATAAAGTTTAACTACCAAGTAGCTAATATTTTGGAAGTCAAGTAGGTATGAAAGACATGAAAATATGCGGGTATAATTGGCGTTATGATAATAATTAAGGGTGAAATAGGAAATCAAAAGTTTTTTACACATGCTGACATTTATTTTGACTTTATTTGTTTATTTAGGTATCTCTTCAATCCCATTAATCATTTGTCTATTTAATTATATTATATAATTATTAAGTTTTCTTTTGTTAAATAGATTGATTAGATCACTTATAATATTATTATATTATTTCATACTAAAAAATAAAATATATTATATATTTGATCGTGTAATTCAATTTAGTAATTACACGTGTATAATAATTTAACATATATAGGACTTTGCTTCTTTATATACATATAGAAAATTTTATGTAACTGTACTACTAATAAATGAGTTCAAAAGAATTTAAAAGTCTTTATAAAAGAGTTCAAAATAAGTTAAAAGTCAAATAGGACTAAAAAATAAAAATTAGATGAAAGTATATAGGTGGGTATAGTTGACTTTAGTATAATAATTAGGGATAAAATAGGATTAGATCACTTATAATATTATATTATTTCATACTAAAAAATAAAATATAATATATATTTGTTTGTGTAATTCAAATTGATAATTACACATGTATATTAATTTAACATATATAGGACTTTGCTTCTTTATATACATATAAAAAATTTTATGTCACTGTACTACCAATAAATGAGTTCAAAAGAATTTAGAAGTCTTTATAAAAGAGTCAAAAATAAGTTAAAAGTCAAATAAGATTAAAAAATAAAAATTATATGAAAGAATATAGGTGGGTATAATTGACTTTAATATAATAATTAGGGATAAAATAGGAAATTAAAAGTTTTTCACAAATGTTGACATTTATAAGTAGTATAGATATAGATTTGGAAACAACATTCTGGAGGCCGGTAAGATCAGGTTTCCTATGCAAGAAAATTGCTGATCCTGCTTGTGTTTCTCATGTGATTTTAATATTTACCGCTGAAGTTAAAATAAAATTAGAGGGTCTTCTTAACTTGCAAATTTTAAATTTTTGCTTTTTGTGTGAACTTTTTCAATAAAGTGGGGCCTTCCTCTTTTTCATATGCTAATTTTTTTTGCTTGCAATACCCTCTGTTATTACAAGATAATTGGTTGTGCTATGATATGGCAATGAAGGCTTTCATTTCTTATGTGTGAAGTATAGCAATCCTGTGCCATTACATTTGGAGCTAGAAGCATCATTGTTTTAAGAGCATTTATTGGCAGTGTTCACATGGCCAGGCCGAGGAAATATTTAGTGTTAAAAACAAATTCTGACGGAAAATGTAACCAGCTGAGAAATTTGGAACCCAATTAAAGATGTGCAAATGAATTGTGATTGGGGGATACAACACGCTTGTTAGGGAAAGGAGTGCAAATATTGTCATCATCTTTGAATAATTATAGGTCAAGTTTGCAATGGTAGTTGAACTTGTTTGTGTGCGCTCAAAAAGAAAGCTGCATATAAATCTGGCATTGGAAATTCAGAAAATTTTGTCAAAGATGTCTTGCATGAAGTTGTCTGGTTGTATGATACACAATAGATGTATGAGAGCCGCTTTCAGCGGAATTGGCTGGTAAATAAGTGGAATTTACTTTCTTTCCATCACTGGAACAATACTCCTTCAAGGGTTAGCCTATTCCACTTTGGGTTTATATAGAGTTCCTTACAGCTCTGTTTTCCTGCATTTATAGTGAAGCTGTTGGACTGGGGAGAGGATGGCATGGCCACAACTGCTGAAACTGCTGCTTTGCGGGCTTCATTTCGGCAAGAGGTTGCTGTTTGGCACAAGCTTGACCATCCAAATGTCACAAAAGTATAATTTGGATTCATCAGCTTTTTGTTGTGGATTAATTTTAGCTGCCAATGTCCTGTGATAACTATGATCTTCTGCATGTTAGTTTTAAAGGGTAATATCACGAATTTAGTTCATTTTAGATGATGGCTGGCTTTGAGTTTGGTCCATAATTTTCCGCTGAGCAATGTTAACCATTCTTGACTTACCTTCTTGTTAAATACTGTTGATGGTCTTACATATACTTACTTGCAGTTTGTTGGTGCTTCAATGGGGACGTCAAATCTTAAGATTCCTTCTAAAAACACTTCAACTGAGGGTTATATTAACCTGCCATCGAGGGCATGTTGTGTGCTTGTGGAATTCCTCCCAGGCGGAACACTGAAAAACCTCTTATACAAAAACAGGAAAAAGAAACTTGCATTTAGGATTGTGATTCAACTTGCTTTGGATCTCTCTAGGGGGTGAGTTTCAGTTTGAAATATAACTGATTGTGGTTTCCTTTGATGGAGAATATTTATCTACTGTCTTATTTTTTCAGACTGAGCTATCTACACTCAAAAAAGATCGTGCATCGTGATGTCAAAGCTGAAAACATGTTGCTAGATACTCAGAGAACTCTGAAAATTGCTGATTTTGGTGTTGCTCGTGTTGAAGCTCAGAATCCTAAGGACATGACTGGCGAAACTGGAACACTAGGGTACATGGCGCCAGAGGTAAGCATGTCTTTTGACAAGCTACCAAGAATTGAAAAGAGTCATTCACCAGGCACAAGTATGTTGTGACAATCGACACATATCTGCTCCTTAGAGGTGTTAAAGGAATCTTCTTCACTGAAGATCTTCTCCTTTTTCTCCCTCCTATTTTCTTTTCCCTGCTGGGCTTATGGGGTTAGAACATGTTTGTTCCTCTCTCGAATCCACTCATGGCGTTGGTCTTCTGCTAAGCCACAAGGCTGCATCCTTTATGGAACAAAACCCTTGAGATAGGAACCTAACTAAATCTTCGTGGTTTGTAATGAGTGCCAAAAGGAATAAGAAAACTGCGAGTGCCTTCTCGTATTAACACGGTGGTGAAGACATCCCTCTGCGCTGAGGGACTGGTTTGGGCGGATCAGGAGTCTGTACTGTGTGGTCTTTTTTGTAGGGCTAATACCATCATTTGCTTTGTGGAATGGCATGTATATATATCATTAAATTACTTAATGTTTCTCATTGCTATAATGCTTTTGACATTTGGACTTCAAATGCAGGTTTTTTAGACAAACAGTATTTGCTTCTTTTTCTTCTCCATTGTCATTGAAAGAATAAATTGAAAAAAAATTATATGCTTCAATCTTGGACCCATTTGAATGTAGTGAATAACAGTGGTGCCCATAATTGACGTGTATTCAAATCATAGGATCTAGTACTCGTCAATATGCTCAGTTCTAAGTCAATTTGGGTTGGAAACAGTATTTTTTTGCTTCCTCTCACTTTCACTTATAATTCAGAGATTTAATGAGGTACTTTTTGTAGGTTCTTGATGGCAAGCCATATAACAGAAAATGTGATGTCTACAGCTTTGGAATATGCTTGTGGGAAATTTATTGCTGTGATCTGCCTTACCCAGATCTTAGCTTTGCTGAAGTTTCATCAGCAGTCGTTCGGCAGGTCAGTTGACAAGTTTATCGTGTCATTTCTCTCCATAATACTGTGTATCCTTTACCGATCGATCCAAAAAACCAAATCTAAAACAGATGGTTTTCACTGTTTTAAGTATCAAGTTATAATGTTGATGTAAAATTGCTCAAGAATATTTATATTTTAGTATTGCATTAGCTTTTGCCTCTAAACTAAACATAAAGATCACCTGAACTCTATTCCTACCAAAGAATTTTAAATGTACAAGTTATGTAAGCTACAGGCTGCTAATTGAGGTTTATTAACTATTTATTAGAGTAATATTGAAGTTAATTTTTGCGGTGAACAAGATTTACATGTATCATCTCCATGTGAGTTTTATATTGTATTGCTGTATTGTCAGAATTTGAGACCAGAAATTCCCCGTTGTTGCCCAAGCACTTTAGCTAACATTATGAAGAAATGCTGGGATGCAAATCCTGAAAAACGTCCAGACATGAATGAGGTTGTGAGGTTATTAGAATCAGTTGATACAAGCAAAGGAGGAGGAATGATTCCTGAAGACAAGGCTGGTGGCTGTTTCTGCTTTGCTCCGGGTCGGGGTCCATAACTCTTGTCAGTCATTGAAGTTGTTTTGTGATGCTTTCCATTTAATTCTTCGAGGTTTTTCTAATGAATGCTGCAAACATGTCTCAATGGTGTCCATAAATGAAGATAAGTAGAGACAAGTTCAAGATTTATGTTTGATATTTTACCTAAGCATAATTGTGTTGCAATTTTTCCTTATGATTATCTTCACAGTGCATCATGTTTTGTAGAAAGCGTTTTTGACATAGAATTATGATTAGCATACACCTATAAAACACCAGGAATCGGAGGATTATGATTAGTTTGACATAGAAGAACGGTGATTCTCTAATGAATCTGATTGCAGGTTGTTGTCGTGGGGGATTCCATGCATATTTTTAGGTGTATTAGCGTGCATCAAGCATATAAATGCATCACCTTAAAGAATTTGTACTATCCAAGACCCTTAGCGTTCTGGAACCATTTTCTACATGATTCTCACTGGGTTATTGAGTTTCTGCTTTGACATCAATGCATAATCACAAGGTTGCATTGTAGAAGGATGATGCTTCTATATGTGTAGGCTATATTGGGTTGCAAGTTGCCTTGTGTCTGTGGAGTGTGCTCATACATGATAAAACGTGTTAATCGAGGTGTGTCGTGTCTTGTCGAGGTTGTGTGATTTATGGGTCTTGTTACTGTTTTTGTGTCATATTCGTATTAATAGGTAAAATTAATACTCCTGTTGCAAAGTACCGTCACTACTTCTAAAATTAAAGTTATTAAATTTTCAGATCAAGTTACACATTTTAAATGTAAAGTTATAATTAATCAAGAGTAGTAATAATCGATCATGAAATTAGCTTAAACACAATTGATCAGGAAGTATAAATGATTGATCATGGAGTTATTTCAAGTAGTTGTAATTTTACCTTTAAAAAGTGTAACTCAACCTCAAAATTTAATAATTTTTTGTACAATACTGATTTTTTTTTCCTTCCAGTACCGTAGAATTAACCCGTGCACACATGCAAAGGAAGCCAGGTCCCAGGAAAAAAACTTTAAGAATATAGCCAAGAACATGGCCAGGTACATTCTTCTTGTGGATAATGATACAAAAGAAGAATTCCCCAAATTCCATAATTATAAGTCTCATTGGAGTAACTATGCCAAACTAAGAACAATATCATCTATTAGTCGTGACCCGTGTAAAATACGTTTGAAACGATCTGATCGGTTGTTGTGTTTTTTTTAATTGAAAAACTTAGGTAACTCAAGTGGAGGGCTCTGTTTTGTTTGGAATGCAATAGGACCCATCAATTTTTCAAGACAAATAGTGGGGCCATTTGCAAGTTTTTTCCACAACAGCTTCATATCGTAATTCTTAATAAGATATGCTAATTTGGTACGTGGTCGATGTCAAATTATAAAAAAAAATATTTATTTAATTTTGACACGCTCAATTCCAAACCAATTTAACTCGTCAATATTAACACGATATAACTCGTCACTATTAACACGATATAATTTACACGATTTAGATTTGGCTGTTTGTGTACTATGTAGACCAAGTAGGACATAATATTATTATGATGATGGAGAATATAGCCAAGAACATAGCCAGGTACATTCTTCTCGTAGATAATCTTACAAAAGGATAAATGCTCCAAATTCCAAACTTAATCATCTTAGTCGAGAATGAAATGTAATATATGAGTGGAGTAACTCTTGAATATGATATTTAATACTCCATCCGTTCTTAAATATCTGTCGTTTAAAATTTTGTATAAGGATTAATAAAACTATTAAATAACTCTAATATGAGTAAAAAATAATTACACAAGATTAAAATACTCTTATTCAATACATATTGGGAAGGAAAATGGATATGAAAGACACTTAACCTCTACTTAATCTAATGCATTGAAAAATTAAGGGTAAATTTGAAAGAAAAAATATTAATTATGTTTTGGTTTCATTAAACGACAGATATTATAGAACTAAAAAAATTGTGTAAAACGACAGATATTTAGAAATGGAGAGAGTAATTCAAATATCTCAGGTTTAATTGTTTCTCACACATTTTAACAGTTGCATCTCCTTGTCTTTTTTAAAAATATAATCTAACCTAGTTCAAACCACAGTTAATCGACACAAACCTGAATACCTATAACAAAACAAAAAAAAAATCTACAATATCACCCTATATAGAATTAGTATTTAACAACTTCATTTTCTTCTAAAGTCGAAAGAGTTTGGATTTGAGCCATTTTTGAGATGGTAAAATTAGTCTTTAAAATCCATCTAATTTATATATATTTTTAGAATTTTTATTAATCGCTGATTGATCTTCGTATGTATGTGACAAGTTTATTGATGTATAGTTTGTCTCACTCCTATCATTGAAAAAAAATATATAATTAAATAAATCCAAATTTATACAATTCAACGAATTTCGACTGATGGTATGTGAATATATCAAGATAACTGAAAGAATATGCTCTTGAAGTAAGGCTTTCAGCTCTAAGCAAGAAGAAGCAAACGTAGGGTGGTCGAAAATCAGTGACCGCAGGTTTGCAAAAATAGATAAACCGACAGTGGGATAGAAACCTTATTCTCCACCGATGGAATGAGGACATAGCAAATCAGATCCTAGCTAGAGAGCGGCTCCTTTTGAATCAGAGTGTCTTTTTGGCCTGAATCTAGATAATTGATTGAGACTGACCTCTTTTGAAATTTAAATATTTGAAAGAAAGAATTGACACCTGGTGGAGTCTTGCAAGCCGGGCCATGCTACAGGCCAAGGAGTTCAGTTGATTTGGCTGTCTTATTAGTTTAGTTGCTGTCTTGAATTGATTGGAAGACACAGAGGGGCTGTTCAAAAATATATGTTAAAAACATGGTGGAGTGCTTGAAGAGAAAGCTACCCAAAGGAGAAGCAGTATAAGCAAGGTCTAAGCCTTACGATATGCTTAAGACAGTCAGATAGCCATGCCAGCACCGAAAGGAAAGACCACAAGACCGGGGCTGGCGTGAGGGAGGAAGCTACGATGCCACGTTAGGATCTGGTGCGACGATTTTCGATGAATCTCACTTTGTACCATTAAAATATTTAAAATTTTTTATTTTATACTTTCAAAAATTAAAGTTTTTATATTATATTTTTAATATATTAAAAGTATTATAATGTAATTTTTATGTTAATTTACGTTTATTACTTTAATTTACATTAAAGTTCATCGACTTTAATGTAATGAATAACGGAAATTAATGGAAGATCATATTATAATATTTTTAATATATTAAAGATACAATGTGAAACTTACAACAAATAAGTTCCGAGATACTTAATACATTTTTTTTTTCAATTTCTCTCTTTTGTATATCAAGTAAAAGTAATGTTCCAAAACTCAAATGAAATAAAAAAATTGTAACTTAAATGCATATCATCCCTTAGATAAGTGCGTCCTATCAATTTTTTCAATAGGGCCCACTCATTTCATACTCATTTAAAGAATGATATACATTTGAGTTATAACTTTTTAAATTTTATTTGAGTTATGTATCAAATAACATTGATTTATGTATTGCCCGTTGCATATATATATAATAAAATACATAGCACTTTAAATTTTTATTCCCTATATATTTTTCATTCTAAAAATATCATATCATTTATTTTTATCACATATTCAATCATTTAATATTTAATATAATTTTTATTTTAAATATTATTTATATACGATAATATAGATATGTTGAAAAATTTTAATATAATAGAATTAATTTTTTAAACGCTTGAATTTTTTATATCATCGTACCTTCGTGACATAAATCACCGCTTTATAATGGGTGATAAATTAAAGTAATTAAGGAAAATTTAAAATTGAAAAGATTAAAAAATCCCTATATATTTGGCAAATGGACAAAGAACTAAACTGCTTCTTCCTTGAATAATAGCTGCGGTTTCTCTCGCTTCAACTTTTGGCAGACTTCTGCTTACTAGAAATCAACCCTTCTTGCCAAAGAAGCCCAAAATACCAAGTTTGGCGTGCCACCATCACCACCACCGCCACCAACTACAACCACCACCACTATTAATACAAACGACCTCCACGACCTTTGAACTCATGGATTATGATGAGACTGTTGAACCGTCGAAGTTTATGGCAGATTTCCTCCGCCAGTGTGGTGGCTATGCCATCGTTGACGGTGGCTTGGCGACGGAGCTTGAACAACACGGGGCTAATCTTAATGATCCTCTCTGGAGCGCCAAATGCCTCCTTAGTTCACCTCACCTCATTAGAAGGGTACTCTCTCTCTCTCGTAGAAAGTTTGAGTTTTTGTCAAAAACAACTTATGGGTTCTCTGGTACTTTCCTCTGTTTTGAGTTTTATCACTATAGAACTAATTCAAATGGTTTGCTTTAACTTTCTGTCAAGAAATATGTAATCATAGACTTCATATCGAAGTGGGTTTGATTAAATTTTCACATTGCATCGTTAATGGGTTTTTGTGTTCTTCGTTAATCTGGAAAGTTTTAATCTCTGTTTGTGATATCTCGTACTATGCTCTGTTTCTGGGTTTTATAATGGTTTAAAGGAGATTTGTTTAATCATCTGTTCATGTGATGTAAATGCAATTTCTTTTCGTTTGATAATGCAGGTTTTTCAGCATAGAAAGGTTAATTTTATGCATGACTTCGATTTTATGAATGTTAATATATTATTTAAGTTATTAGTACTTTTTGTTCTCGAAAAGCAATGTGATTGAATCTTTGGATTATTGTAATTGTTTCGTGTTCTGGAAATGTTTTGAAAATATAATAAAAATGGTTAAAAAATTTAAAAATTTGTTTTCAAAACATTTAAAATAATTAGTTTAAATATATTTAAACATTTCGGAATACATACAAACACACATGCTTTCAAAATATTCTGAAATACCTCGAAACACCTTGAAATATCAAAATTTTGATTCAATCATTGCTTTATTTTGGTCTCTTTAGAAATGAAAATGTTTTGGATGTTTTGACCATTTTAAAACAATATTTTGATTCTTGCTCTGGTGGGTGCCTTCTGTTTTTAGGGTTAGTAACAGCTACGGGGCCTTAGTTGTCCAGTCCACCTCATTGGGGACTCAAGTTTCGTGGTACTTGTCTACCTCATGCAATAGGGGTTTATTGACATATTAAAAAAAGAAATAAAAAAATAAAAAATCTGTCTATCTATTTATTTATTTTTTCCAACAAGAAGAATTAGATCCTGAGATCTGGCAATGCTTACACTGCCATCTTATAATGTATAACCATTTCCATAAGATCCTTTTTGTAGATGTCGTGCATACACAACCACTCTGTTAATATTTTGTTTAGCTGAAAAATGGGCTACAACTCCCATTGTTCATGTCACAATGGTCACAATAGAGTAACCTTATAATTGTGCTAAGGCACGCACTCAAAAGATAAAATTGAAGTTAAAAGTGAGATGGTGGTTTGACAGTATGCTTAGCACATGTGAAGGTTTAGGTGACTTTGGCTAGATCTAATGTCGAGGTTAAGGGTGTTTGAGAATCAGTTTTGGGGCAGAATATCCTTGTTGTCGTAATAGCTCTATTCGCCATTTGTGTAGCAATTGTGAATGTAGCTGATTGTGCAGACTTAGGTTTTGTTGAACTGGAAGGGTCCAAACCCTCCCGGTTCTTACTATTGCAGCTTAAATGAGTTTGGCAACATTATTTTCGTATATTATGGAAAAGTGGGAAACACAACTCTTAACGAGCTTGTTGCAACAAATATTGGAAGGATAGTGAAAGAAACAATTCATGNACCCTCCCGGTTCTTACTATTGCAGCTTAAATGAGTTTGGCAACATTATTTTCGTACATTATGGAAAAGTGGGAAACACAACTCTTAACGAGCTTGTTGCAACAAATATTGGAAGGATAGTGAAAGAAACAATTCATGCCACCTAAATAAGCAATCAAAACCATGGTAATAGCTGTTTGGAGTTCAATATTAAATGAAAACTATTAATGCAAGCTTTTTTTTTTTTTTTCTGGTAAATGAATTATTTGACCTCAAAAAGATATAGACGTAAAATATACATCAAAACATTCCCTTAAAGCATACTCACAATTGAGATACTGAAGCTTATGATCTGCCTAATCTCAATGGAAATTCTACAAGGAACCAGGATTAGGTATCTATTCCTCACTTCCCATGTCTTTGTTGTGTGCATTTATACATGGATATATGTTGCATATTTATTATTGACTTGCTCAACATTATAGGTACACCTAGACTACCTTGAAGCAGGTGCAAACATCATAATATCTGCATCTTATCAGGTAATTGTGCAGCCATCCCATGCCTTTTTTTAAGCATATTTTCATCATGGTCTTTGCTGAAATAATCCTTCAGACGATAAAAAAAAGTGTCGTAAAATGTCGTTGGGTGAGACAGGCTACCCTTCAGGGTTTCGAGGCTAAGGGCTTATCTAGGGAAGAAGGTGAAGCATTACTTCGAAAAAGTGTTGAAATAGCGTGTGAGGCACGGGACATACTTTATGACAGAGCTGCCAAAGGTTCTGGGGATGTTATAGGAGATGGAACCATATTGAAACATCATCCAGTCTTAGTTGCAGCTTCTGTGGGAAGCTATGGAGCCTATCTAGCTGATGGTTCTGAATATAGGTGAGCTTATTTAGTGCATCATAGCACAGTGTACAGGATATTTCAGTCTTGTTCATTTAGATGCTGTTTGTTTGGTTAGTTTTGCTAATGGAAACTTTGAAAACTTTGCTATGATCTTAAGTGACATTTCTGATACGCTATACTTCTTTCCTCTTTACAGTGGCATCTATGGTGACGCAGTCACTCTGGAAACTTTGAAAGATTTCCACCGGAGAAGGATTCAGGTTCTAGCTGAGTCGGGTGCTGACCTAATTGCTTTTGAGACAATCCCAAATAAACTAGAAGCACAGGTATCTTCAGATTGATATTACTTATTGTTATGATATAACTGCATGTTGAGCTTTTTTCCTATGCACTAAATCTATCACTCTTCATGTTATTTGAATAGCTTCCGGTGCATAGTTGAATCTCTGGTTATATGATGATGTGAGATTACTTAGATTATGAATCAATTTGCTGTATGAATTATAATTTGGGGTAAGAACTTTGAGTGATCTAAATCGTGAACCCACCCCCTTTTGGGTCGTGTGACCCCGATTCATGGGACGCCACGATCCTTGTATCTATGATCTGGATTGATACTATTAATGCTTCTTTGAATTGTAAAGTAAAGCGGAGTTGCAGTAATTGATAATGTTGGAGCATGGTGCATTTTGGGTGGACCCTGTTTCAGTTTGGTAGTGGGTCTATGTACTGACTTTATTTGTTTTCAATGTAGGCCTATGCCGAGCTTCTTAAGGAAGAAGGCATAAAGATTCCAGTCTGGTTTTCTTTCGACTCTAAGGATGGAACCAATGTGGTTAGTGGTGATTCTATCTCAGAGTGTGCCTTAGTAGCCGACTCGTGTAAGCAAGTTGTTGCTGTTGGAATCAACTGTACCCCACCTAGATTTATTCATGGACTGATTCAATCAATCCAGAAGGTACTGTCATTTAAATTAGTGCACTTCATTGAGGATTAAATTCCAATCGTTCTTTTTGATCCATTTCTAAAATTTGAAATACTGCAATTTTTGATAATATTGTTATATATCTTCCAAATACCCTATTAATTCACATCTCATCTCTTGTCTCATCATCTGAATTGTATATGATACCTCTTCCCCTGTCGAATTTAAGGATTCCAATCAGCTTAAGGATTAGAATCATTTCGTGCAAGGCCAGATGTCCAAAGACTTGGGAGTATTTGACCTCTTGCCCTTCTGTTGTTGATTTTTTAATCGTTCTGTCTTTTTTCGAGTTCTTTTTCTTCATTTCTCCAAGCTTCAAAAACTTAGATCTTAAAGGGTAATTGGTCAGTTATGTGGGCATAACATTATTTAGATGGAGTAACTATCCGTCATTGTTGGCCATTCAACCTTTGCAAATTTTCTTACCTTACATACTATTGCAAATACTCGTCAGTTTATCTGTCCAACAACTGAAATATTTGCTAATAATCCTCCAGGTAACCACTAAACCCGTAGTTATATACCCCAACAGCGGTGAGACCTATGATGCAGACAAAAAGGAGTGGGTGGTGAGTCCTCTTTTGGTTCATTCTGTGTTTGAATATTAGTTTTTTTTTTCTGTTTCCAGACCTCAAATACTCTACTATGGGATCTCTGGATCTTATAAAGATTTGTGATGTCTTTCTCAGCCATGGACTATATGGATTACCATGTCCATTGTATGAAAGCGATAATTTGCAGAATCCAATGTGTTTTCATGACTAACCTAAACCTCTTGTTTCACCAATAATCTGTTTCAATTACACTACCACGCGTTTTAAACGAATAAATAGATTTGATTTGCTGTGTGCTTATGATGGTACACAGTCTTCATTGTGTTTGTATTACGTTAATGACATATTAGAATTTGTCACTTCACCACTTTACGTTTGACATACTACCACCAGAAAGCTAAAAATTGGAGCTTTCTGTTGCAGGTATCAACTGGAGTTGCAGATGAAGATTTTGTGTCGTATGTGGGCAAGTGGCGTGAGGCGGGGGCTTCTCTTATTGGAGGCTGCTGCAGGACTACCCCGAATACTATCAGAGATATTTCTAAAGCTCTTTCTAGCAAATCAGCTGCCTCTACCGCCCTGCAGTTTTGAGACTGACTTTCAGAGAGAAACACTGGGAATGCTGTGCTTCAATCAGAGTTTCTGTCAATGTGCTTGCCATACCAGTATAGATGCTTTGCTTTATGTATGTGATCCGAAAGTAACATCTTCCAACTCTTAGTTCTTTCTCTGTTTGTCATGCCAGCACCATTCTGTGTTTATGTGGAGAATGGCGTGCCCTTAGTACCAAACTATATATCGGTAGCAGGTTATAAATTAAAGACGTGAATCGTGCCAACCAAACGTCGTTTATACTCAATGGTTGTAATAATGGTNGATCCGAAAGTAACATCTTCCAACTCTTAGTTCTTTCTCTGTTTGTCATGCCAGCAGCATTCTGTGTTTATGTGGAGAATGGCGTGCCCTTAGTACCAAACTATATATCGGTAGCAGGTTATAAATTAGAGACGTGAATCGTGCCAACCAAACGTCGTTTATACTCAATGGTTGTAATAATGATTTCAATTGAAATCTCGGATGCATGCTATCGTCCAAAAATCTTGGAATTGAACAAAAGTTTCATAGGTTTCATAACGGGATTGCACACACGTATACCGATAAGGACTTCAATACATCGACGAGGAGGGGATTAAAGTTTGAACCCTGATGAATACTTTGATTTAAAAATCGCCATTTTCAACTTGACTAGCCCTTGGCTTCGATGGCAGGTGGTTTGGGGCAGCCGGGGAGGTGCACACAGGGCACCCCAGCTGAATGCTCAGCGGCACCACCACCGCCGGTGACTTCCAAGTTCTAAGCAGTTGCATTCAGCATACACCTTATACATATTACAGTTTTCAGTGCAGATCATGACCACATTTACTTAATACAAAACTGGCCCGGTTTTTATACCAAAGCCGTGAACCCATCATGAAATTGGCGAATTTGAATTGAGTTTTAGCAGAGTTGGGTGGTAAATGGAGACCTGCCAAACTAACCAAGTAACTAAATCAACATGAAGCTGACTAACACCGTGTATATATGGTACTAATCCGACTATACACAAATATAAATGTGCTGGGTAGAAGGTGAATAAGTTCGACAAAAAATAATTTATATTGGTTAAAAATACTACATGGGAGGAGAAAACTTTACTGAGAGCTTGGGAACAATGATTATATTATTTGCCATGAATAGCAACTGTAAATATCATTCATTCATTTAAATTGACCAATAGAAATACTAAGAAACTGTTTTATATGGTTTGATTTTATTTTTTAATAACAGAGAATCATTCTGATCATACACTTTATTAGGTACGTCATGTGTTTGCAAACTTAGATACTATTGAGGGCTAGAAAGTCATGCATCAAAACTAATGTTACTAATTAGACAACTATACCCTAATTAAATCGGTAAGAGTTTTTATTATTTACAGTTACGACCTTCATTGAATACTACTATTCGCAGAATTTTATATGAGTCAAGCCTATGGCTTGACCCCACATTGGTTGAGGGGTAAGATTACCTACTAGTGGGGTGAACTTGGAATAGTCTTATCTTTCAATATCATAATTGGATCGATCAGGTCAAATCAAGAGTGAAATATCATGATCTGGTCGAGACAACGCATTGGTTCCCATATCGCGTGTGGGTAGCACCATGATTATCGTAATGGCCCGACTTTTTTTTTTTTTTCTAGTTTAACATATATATTTTATATTATTTTCAATTTTGATGGGCTGTAAAAGGTACTATTTAGGCGGCCTGCGGGTATACCCGTCAAGTCGCATTTTTAGACCTCAATTGGGCCTGTCCATCAAGCCTAGCGGACACACCATACACATATGACTGATAGACCAGCCTATTGAGCTATGAAAGTGTTCACGATTGACCACTTGCTGGTAGAACTGGACCATAAGCCAGTTGGCCGCCTGGGCCATCAGGTTAGCCCTTGGGCTAAAGGTCATCGTCCCGCTGTTAAATTTTGAAGTAACAATTTTAAATCTCATCGTTTCCTCCTTTTATAATAGTGTTTGAAGACTAATGGATAGAATTGATAGTCTTAAAAAGCTTATTTGGAAAATTTAAAAAATGGATCAAGTTCAATTTGTTTAGAAACGGGTCGAGCTTGAACAAGTTCAAAACAAGTCGAACCCTAGTCGAACTTGACTATTTGCACATAAACAAGTCAAGTTTATCGAGTTTGAGTCAAGTCTACTAAACTTGTTTTTCAAATAAGTTTAAAAAAATGCTTAAATTCGAAAATGAGCTGAACTTGAACGAGTCAAACCTAAGCCGAACTCGAATAACTCGATTTGATTAACAGTCCTATCAATGAATAACCTAAGAATATTGATAACTTGAAATTTTAATAACAATCAAAGAATATAAATAAGAAGACATACAGTCTTGACATGTGATTATAGTTAGATTGTTTTATTGGTTAGGTACTATTATATTATTATAGAGGAGGAATATAAAGAGATTCGAACCTGCTAAGTTAAGGTCGATAGTATTAAGCAAATATGGATACAGCTAAATTGAGATAAGGCTACAATTAAACCCCAATGCAGCCCCATAGAGGACCAGAGAGCTACATGGAAAGCAATAGAAACTGGGAGGACCTTCATATGATTTGACAGGCAACTAGGACGAGTGATAAATGCTTTACTTTGAGCAATGCCCAACCACAAGAGTCAATGAAATGGATGGTGACTACTGACTAGCTCTGATTACCTTGCAACGTCTACACCTTACTGCACTCTTCTCACCCCACTCATGTCTAAAATGAATGCTTACATAATGTAAGACTAATCAATTTAATACATGATGATCACTTATGCGACTTTTTATTCTAAGTTTTACATTTTGAAACTATGAGTTACGCATGTGTACTTGAATATATCAAGATTCGAATATACCACGAGTTTAAAATAATAAGACTTAAATATAGAGGACTATTGTGATACCCAAAGGGGTACTATAAGTTATAATATTTTAAAATCAAGTTATAATCTTTTAGGGGTTTAATTTATAATTTAAAGTTTATAATCGATCTCCTCTGTCTTACTTATGCTCCGTTTGGTAGGAAAAATAAAAAGTATGAAGGATGAAAAGTAAAAAAGATACACTTTCCTTCCTTTATGTTTGGTTGGATGGATGAAAAATAAAAATAACAATTTTTTTTTTATGTTGGCTAAGATTAGGAGTTACAATCGAGTCGAGTTGTGGTCGAATATTAGTCAAATTTAACTTAATTTATTTAACTAATTGTGTCGTGTCAAGTTGCGAGTTGAATTGTTTATTTCCGTATCGAGTTCAAGTTGTGTCATCGTGTTGAGTCAAAAATTAACCCTTAGTTAAGATAAAAAAAAATAATTTTAAATTTTTTTAAAAAAAATTAAATTAAAAAAAATATTTTTTTTTAGAGGGATTGATTTTAGTGAGTTGGAAAAAAAATTAATTCATCCACTTTTCCATTCTTCCTACTTTCCTTCCTTACCAAACACGATGTTTTATTTATCACTCCAACTTTTCATCCTTCCAACTTTTCATTCTTTTATTTTTTTATTGTACTAAACGGAGCATTAAACTCACGAGCTTGAGTAACACAATTATATGTCCCTATTAGTCGGGGACAAATCAAGAATTTTTACTGTTACTAAAAAGAAAAATGTTCTAATGAATCATAAAAAATACAATTTTTAAATGTTAAATTACATTTTTTTAAAGATAAAGTTATAATTGATCTAGATTAATCACGATCAAACATGACATTGCATGATCCTTCATTAATAGTTGTAAACTTATCCTCTAAAACTTTAACAATGAGATTTTTTTCTTTATCAGATGCTGTTTTTTTTTTTTTGTTGGTATTATAATCTTTTCGTTAATTATAACACAACAGGTCCAGATTTATAATTTAACGGTTAAGGATGTGCGAATAATTTATGCACATTTCGACTAATGTTTTTTTTGGTCCAATCAAAGGCATATCATCCATTCCGAGTAATATATTGACGAGAGATAAATCCCTTTCGGCTTTGGCTTCAAGTGATTATCAAAATTTAAATTCAGAATGTCTGAATTTACAACTCGTTCATATTGATGATGCACAAAAATAGTTTCGTACACCACCTGTCAAGTGTAAATAATAAATGCAGTGAAAGTAAAGAGAGAATTGGAGGAGACAAGATTTATAGTGATTCGGTCAACTCGACCTATGTCCACTCTTGAATGGTGTATTTTATTAATTTAAGGGTGTGGAGACAGAGAATACAAGCTTCGAGGGAGAAGAGAATCAGGGAAGGTGTGATGCCAGGCAATCAGTTTTATGCCCCTCAAGTATTGATGGGGCGTGCAATTTATAATAGTCCCATAACAGATTGAGGCTACTTTACAGCAACTAAAAGATTATTCTGGTGGAGCTCACGATTTCTTCTCAACGGGCGAGGAGGTTGGGGAGCTCTCCATGAGATTCGATCAAAGATGACGTGAGAGTGAACCGTTTCCTTCGGTGGTGCAGATAGAACTTCTCATGCTCTCCCATTTGATGGTGTGGCTAAGCAAAGAGTCTAACTGGTCTTTGGATTATATTGGGCTTGGTAGATTTTTCATGAGGTTGGGCTCCTCAATTGGGGTTGGATTTCTCACATAAATTGGACTATTTGGGCTTGACCCATCATTTGCCCCCCAATGCCCCGTGTTCAAGTAAAACTTGGAGAGGGAGACATTGACTCTTCAATTGTATTTATTTATCTATTTATTTTTTTCTTTGGTGCAAACTTCAAGTTTTTCCCACTTTATTTTGAAGAGGGCCCATAATTTTCAATTTGGGCTTTTTCCTTCTTTTGAAAAACCCTAGACTATAAATATAGTCTTCTTCTTCATGCTACCCATTTCATTCACTTTTAAGGTTGAGCATCCACTTCTTGAAAACCTTGAGAACTCAAGTCCTATCCATTTTGTTGAAACTCTCCTTGAATCCTTCCAAGAGTGGGATTTCTTCCTTTTTTAGTAGGGTTTCTGAAGTAGACAATGTCGATTGA